CTGCGGGCCCCCAGCGCCGGGCAGGGGGTTCCCCCGGTGCCGGCTCCCCTGCCTTGGCCTCCCGGACCCCGGCCTGGGGTCCCCGCAGCGGGGCGCGGGCAGGCGGGGGGGGTTGCAGCCCAGCCCGGCCTCTTCCACTCTTCATCACCTCCTACCAGCCTTTTATTTTTAAGCGAGGGCATTGAAAACCTTTTCTGGGGCGTTTGTGGCGCTGCTGTCCCCCACCTCTGCAGTTCTCCTCTGGCAGCGTACGGCCGGGTGCGATTTTGTCCTGCCGTGGGTTGATAGCACCGGTTATTTCAAGTCCTCCCGAACCGCAGCGTGTTTCTCCTCGTTGTTTTTGGTGTTTGGGCTTATCTCGTTAATGCGTTGACTGGCTTTATTTTTGATCTGAGCTTGTTTTTACTGCAGTTCCATCAGTCTGTTCTTTTACCCAAAACTTACTCAGCTTCATCCAGCGTCTTTTCTCGGGCGCAGGGTTGTGTTTCTGTCCCCGGAGTCTCTAGCAGATGTCTGCCTGAGCTCGGTCCCGCTCGGCATCTGTTCGTTATTCCTGGGCTCCTGCTTTAAGTAATCCTCTTCTCCTTTCCTGAGTTAGCTGTCTGGCCCTCCGTTATCGAGGGAGGGGAGCCTGGCGTGTCTGTCGATGTTGCTCTTTTCGCTCCAAAGACCCCCAGCAGTTAACACAGTTTGTGCTTTTTTTCTTGAGCTGCGTTCCCCCGGCGTAGCTCGCTCTAGAGGGATCTTAGAGAAAGGTACCGGGAGTCCTGAATTTGTTTTTTCTTTCTCGGTCGCTGAAGCTGAACTTCCAAGGGCGGATGCGACAGGACCAGGGCCAAACCTTGCTGTAATTGTGTCTGGGATCGTAGGATGCTGACCTTATCCTCCGCTAACGCACCTTTCTCTCCCTCTCTCCGCAGGAAAGCGAGGATGGCATTGAAGGAGACGGTGAGTAACAACTCTCTCTGGCGCTGCAAGTTCTGTCTGCGTGCAAAAAGTAAAAACCGGACAAAATGCCTTTTCCAGTAGCCCTGCGGTGGTCGTCATCCCGAATATTACCTCGTAATATCAGGCAAATGGGGGGTGCAGGGACAGCGCGCCCCAAACTCGCCCTTGCTTCTTCCTGTGCGAGCTAGCGATGGTATTCATCAGGGACGCTTTGGTGCTGTCCTCTGACTTCCCCTCGGTGGGACTGTTCGGTGTGTGCTTGCCAGCGGTCGCCCGCAGCGCGGCGTGTTGCGCTCGGAGAGAAGCTGTGTCTCTGTTTCTGCCCTGACACCAAACTCCTTTTTCTCCCTCGCAGCTGTACTCTCAGATTACGAAAGCGCCGAAGACTCGGAGGTAAGAGGAGTCTCTGTCCTGGTGTTTAAAGGGTTCTGCCGAGTGACTGCATCTCGCATAATTTTAGCACAAAACCCGGTTTGCGTCCTTCATTCTCTTCCGCTGACCCCGTCAGTAGCGATTGCCTTTGTCTCGAGATACCAGCTCGCGCGCTTCGCACCAGCCGTGCGGAGACTCGGAGTGAGCAGTGCTGCGGCGTAGTCATCGCCGCTGCAGAGGAAAACGGTCTCTCCTGGCCCGAGCCCCTCGCCAGGCAGTTCCCTCACGTACAGCCCACGGCGCTGGGCCCAGCCCTGTCGAGAAGCCGCCTGCGCTGCTGCGGGATGGACGTAGGGCCAGTACATATGGGGGGAAAAGAATACCTGGCTCCTCAGACGTTGGATACTGGGAGCAGGATTTGCCAAGGATGGCCAAGAAGGGTGTGGAAGGAAGTGTAGGATGCTGGTTGTGTCTTAATTAGTTGCAATTAAAAAAATAATTGCTGGGTTGGAAGCATCCCAGGCAGGCATCCCTGTCTTCTGCATGCAGCAGCTGGAGGGGTAACGCACCCTGAGAGCGCTGGCAGCTCTGCGCTGGGTGTGTGCCGAGAAAATCCTGCCTCGCCTGCAGAGACCCCCTGGGCCTGTGGCTGTAGGTTTCCCTGGATTTTTAGTTCAGAACTGTAAGTTTAACATCTCGAGGAGTTTTAGGGAAGTTCTGGTTTCTAATGATTACAATGAAGATTTTCTAGTGAAAACCCTTCTCTGGAGACAGCTGTTTCAGGGATCTTGAGGGGTGCAGCAGTTAGAGAAAACGCAAAACGGCAAGGCAGATGAAATCGAAGCTCGTAGGGGCCGTTAATTTGTGAATTAATCTCTGCCGTTAGTGAGGAGGGGGCGCAGCGGGCTGTAGAGGTGGCACGCGGAGGGTAAGGCTCACCGCACGGCAGCTCTTCAAGCCTGGAAACCCGCGCGGAGGCTCAGCGCACGTAGAAGCGGAGCAGCACTGGTGCGCGCTGGGCTGTTGGAGCACGGGGGGGTATTGCATCCCTGACACGCCAGGATGACTCTGTTCCTGTGCCTAAAAATAATGCCACTTCTGGGTTTCCCCAGCGTAAACAAAAGGAGCAGTTGATGTGCAAATACACTGTGTTGAAAGAGAAAAATAGAGCAGTCTTTTTGTTAATCACACAGAGCTATTTTTAGTGTCAGTTCCAGCCTAAGCAAGGCTTGCAGGCTCCTGGAGGGTGAAACGAGGTCACGCTCCTGTGAGCAGAGTGCTCCGAGTGAGTCAGCTGAGTAACTCCAGGGAATTTGGAAACGCGGCGCTGGCTGGATCCGGGCCCTCAGTGTGGGAAGGAAGGGACGGTCTGAGGGCCCTCGTTCGCTGGTCTCCCTGGCTTGCACGAGCCCTTTCCTTTCAGAGCGGTGAGAGGCTGTGCCTTTGGGGGGGAGCTGGTCCTGGCTCTGTTCTAGAAAGCCTGACGGTTGGATCTGATGTCGCTGGTGGGAGTTGGTGGGGAGAGGTGTCGGGTTTAGTCTTTGCTTTTTCCGTAAAAATACAAGGACCTTGAGAGCTAATCCTCTGCTTTGAAAGAGTCAGGTCTCTAACAAC